CAGTGACACAGGTGCAGCAGTCCTTGCCTTCCCTCTGCACTTCCTAGCTGTGAACAGGTGAGCTCACTCCCTGGATGTGGAATTTGAGGTATGGAAATATGAGATGTAACTTTCCTTGCATTTCCACCTTGCATTTTCTACTTGGGAAATTTTGGACATTGTGGATTATTGTTTAAAGTTCCTTGTGATCCTGGAAGTAGCTTTGAATGACTGGGACTCACAGACATTCTTATGGCTGTGATCTTTTCACAGAGTATAAATAACATTTATGGAAACACACTAAATGTGAATATCACATGTAAAGCGTCACACAGCATACATTCAAGAGACTATTTTGTAATGAAATGCATTGCTATCTGATGAATTCATATTGTTAGTTTTTGATATAACAGGACATGCTAATACACAAAACAAAATTTGCATTTGTTCTTCAGTGGAGCTAATGGAATATACTGTGCATCATAATATAATTTGAAATGGATTATTTGTTAATAAATCAATTAAAATAACTACAGCATGACTTTTGATGATATTAAAACCAGAAATAAACAGTACAACTCATATATGTTTTTGTATTTTAATTTCAAGTGCTTTAGGCCAAATAAGCCAAGTTTAGACAGCACATTGATGAATTTATTGGCATCATCATTTTTATTCTCTGGTTAAAATGAGTAAAAAATAAGCATTTTCAATATATCCAGAATGCTAAAAAGCCTGGCTTTTAAGAGCAAACAAATTTACTTTCACATTTAGGAATTAGATCTTGATTTCTGCTTTAAGAATTAACTCAATAACAGTGCTAACATTAAAAAAAAAAAAAAAAAAAAGAGTAATAGAATAATAAAATAGTTTGGGTTGGAAGGGATGTTTAAGATCATCTAGTTCTAACCCCTCTGCTATGGGCAGGGACACCTCCCACTAGTTCAGGTTGCTCAAAGCCCCACCCAGCCTGGCTTTGAATTCTTCTAGGGAAGGAAGGACATCCACAACCTCTTTGAGCAACCAGCATCTCACCACCCTCACAATAAATAATTTATTCTAATATCTAGTCTAAATCTATCCTCTTCCTGTTTAAAACCATATCTCCTTGTCTTGTTACTACACGCCCTTATAAAAAGTCCCTCCCCACCTTTCATGTAGGCCCCCTTTAGGTACTGGAAGTCTGCTCTAAGGTCCCTTTGGAGCCTTCTCTTCTCCAGACTGAACAGCTCCAGTTCTTTCAGCCGGCCTCTGTAGGGGAGGTGCTCCAGCCCTGCAATCATCTGTGGCCCTCCTCTGGTCCTTTTTTAAAAGCTTGATGTCCTCCTTGTGTTGAGTGCCATAGAACTGGATGCAATACTCCTGGTGGGGTCTCATGAGAGCTGAGGGGCAGAATAACTTCCCTCGACCTGCTTATTATACTTCTCTTGATGCAACCTTCTGGGTTGCAAGTGCACGTTATTGGCAAATGTTTCATCAACCAGCATCCCCAGGTCCTTCTCTTCAGGGTAGCCATTCTCTGCTCAGCCTGTATTTGTGCTTGGGATTGCCTTTACCCAGGTGCAGGACATTACAGTTTTGTTTTCTGCACCTTAAGCAGTGAAGCTAAAGCCCTTGCTGGTGGAGACTGAGGCAAAGAACTGACTGCAGGACTAAAAGCAGAGTGTGTTTGTCAATGGCTCAATACCTGGATGCAGATCAGTGATGAGAAGTGTCCCCCAAGGAACTAATACTCTATGATATCTTCATTAATGACATTGACAGTGGGGTTGAGTGCACCCTCAGCACTCAGTTTGTGGATAACACCAAGCTGTAGGGTGCGGTCAATATGCCTGAGGGATGGGATGCCATCCAGAGGGAACTAGGCAGGCTTGAGCAGTGGGCCCAGGAGAACTTCATGAAGTTCAACAAATCCAAGGGCAAAGTCTTGCACCTGGGCAGAGGCAACACCCACTATGATACAAACTGGGGAATGAAAACACTGATCACAGCCCTGCTGGAAAGGACGGGGGGTTTTACTGATGGATGGATAGCTGGACCTGAGTCAGCAGTGTGCCCCCACAGACCAAAAAGCCATATGCATCCTGGACTGCATCAAAAGATGTGTGGTCAGCATGTAGAGGGAGGTGATCCTGTCACTCTACTCTGTGCTAGCAAAGCCTGTGTCTAGTACAGTGTGGAGTCCTCAGTACAGGAGAGGCATAGACCTGTTGGAGTGCAGCCAAAAGAGGGCCACAAAAATGGTCCAAGGGATGGAACCTTTCTCCTACAAGGGCAGGCTGAAAGATCTGAGGCTGTTCAGCCTGGAGAAGAGAGAGCTCTGAAATGAGCAGTTTTTCAGTATCTAAAGGGGAGCTACAGGAAGGAAGGGGATAAAATCTTTTACAGTGAGGGTGGTGAGGCCTTGGAACAGGTTGCCCAGAGATATGATGGAAGCCCTCTCCCTGAAGTCTTTCAAAGCCAGGCTCTGAGCGATCTGATCTAGCTGTGGATGTCCCTGTTCACTGCAGGAGCATTGGCAGAGATGATCTTTAAAGGTCTCTTCCAGCTCTAAGGATTCTATGATTCTATGAAAGAAGCCATTGAGCACCTCAACTTTCTCCATATCCCTCATGACCAGGTCTCCAATTTCCTTCCAGAGACAGCTCACATCTTCCCTAACCTTTCTTATCACTGATACACCTGTATAATTTTTTCTTGTTCCCCTATATGTCCCTGGCAAGACTTAATTTTGTCTGGGTTTTAGTTTTTGTAACCTGATCCCTGACTACATGGATGACTTCTTTGAAGTCCACCCAGGTAATTTGTTCTTGCTTCCACTCCCTATAGACTTCCTTTTTGCACCTGAGTAAGTCCAGGAACTCCTTGTTCATCCACAGGTACCTCCTGGCGTTCTTGTCCACCTTCCTCTTTTTCAGAATGCACTGCTACTGGGCTTGGAGGAGATGGTTCTTGAATACTAACCAGGTTTCTTGGGCCCCTCTTCCCTTGAGGACTTTATCCCATGTCACCTTGCCAAGCAGTTCCCTGAAGAGTTCTATGGCTGCTCTCCTGAAGTCCAGAGTAGCAAGCTTGCTGTGCATCCTCTTTCGCACCCCTAAGATCTCGAACTACACAATTTTGTGGTCACTGCAGCCAAAGCTACTCTTGAGTTTCATGTTACTCACAGGCCTCTCTTTGCTGGTGTGGACAAGGTCCAGCACAGCACTTTTTCTCAGGGGTTCCTGTACCATTTGAAATAGGAACTTATCACTGCATTACAGGAATCTTCAATTTCTGGTGCCCTGTTGTGTTGTCCTTCCAACAGATACGGCGTCGTTGAAGTTCCCCATGAGGACCATATTTTGTGCATGCGAAGCTGCTCCTATCTGCTTATAGAGGGCAAAGGATATGTTTACAGAGTGTTAAGGATGATGCAAAGTGGCTAACAAGAAGTCAAATAATAACATTTAATTTGATGATTCAACTATGGAATGTATGCGCATTAAGGAAGGGGGAATATTTCCTTAGCAATTAAATATGTGCAAGAGACTAAATGACATATAGTTGGAGGTAATACTTCAGTCTTGATAAATTAATATGTCAACTTTGATGAAGAAGTGTTCAGTAATTTTAGGAAAGTGTTCTTTATTACAAACAGTATGTTATCACAACCGGTTCACTTAGTAGATAATCACAAACACTCTAACTTTTGCTATTTTCTACATCTATTTTAGGTTATCATGTTGAAGAAAAATGGCTGGGGTTTGAGCAACTGATATTTTTTTGCTCCGTATTACTACAATGCACCAACCAATGGTAGCCTGGGGTTCAAATTTCTAACAACCAGAACTTTTTGGTGTATTAATTAGAAAATGACCTTCACTATGTTCTTGTACTGCTGTTTCCTTCATTACAGGAATTGTCCTCATCTTCCAACTGTTTAACTGAAATATAGGCATCAATATTCACAGTGCTTGTATTTGGCACCTTGAAGAAAGTCTATGGGCTGGATGGATATTCAGCTAGATGGGACAGAACCAAAAGCCTTGAAGTTTTGAACTCTTTGATACCAAGTCTGCTCCAGTTCCCAGCCAGAGAGATTCATTTATCCCAGCCATTCACCTCTCTCCCTCCCATGCCATTTCTGGCAAGGTGGAAGCAAATGTCTAGCATACACATTCTTTCCCCAGCTGGATTCAGGTATAAAACTTTCTGACAAGGAATAGCAGTAAAGGGACCAAAGCTAGCTCTGGAGATGAACTTAAGGCCCTTGAAATCTGTAGCATGCCAAGACAGCTTTATAATTTTTTTTTTGTTTTAATTTAAACTAAAAAAAAACATAGAAGGATGGGCTGCTGAGATCATCTGTCACACCATCTGTGGTTGCCTAGCAGAATTACTCCAGCCTTGAGCTGAAGAAGCTCCCATTTGCAGCTGAACTGCAGTTGGGGGTTTTATTAATACATCTCTCATTTATATAGCACCTTTCACTCTCAAGGATCCCAAAGTACCTGTTAAAGGATAAAGTTGAGGACTGAAAACTGTTAGAGGAGTAGTAGAAGTGGGAAAATTCCCTCCCTCCTGACCAGTGGCTTCAAAACTTTTCAACAAAGCATTTATTGCTGAATTTGTTATTCCCTTTTGTTCTTCAGCACATGCCTTAATGGGAGGTTGGGACCTTTGAGGCCTTGTGCAGCCGTGAGCTGATTTGTTCCTGTGGAGACAATTGCATAAATGTTTTATATCTATTGTATGTGTTGCTTCACAAAATTTCTAAGACTCTGTTATCAAGCTTTATACATATTCATACTTACATATATACACTCAGAGAACAGAAATTAAAAAGAGGAAGAAACAACTGTGATCAGCTGGCATTCAGAAAAATTAAAAAAGAGAGACATAAAACATGTGGAGTAATCAGTAGTTTTCAGTCAAATGGCATTTAAATGCTGCACTGATGCATAACCTGCCCTCCTGTTCTACGAAGTGGGAGGACAGGTGATATGTCAGCTGTGCTCTGCCATGTAACTACAGTAGAAGGGCTGAGTTAATGACAGACACAAGGCTTTGGATGAATGCTAACATGCTGCTATTTCTATGCTGAGATGAAGTAGCAGGGCCTGGATTTATCATTAAAGGAGACCCAAGAGGCTCCCACTGAGCCAGCTGCTAGGGCCTTAAAACATATGTCGCACCCTTCAGCTGTTCATCAGTACAAAAGGCTTCCATCTCAAAGCACTTGACCTTGTTAGCCTCAGCGGTGTCAGTGATATTTTCAACAGGGAGACAACAGATCAAGTATGAAGAGGAAAATCTCTTAAGGAGTGTGTGCAGACCACAGCAAAATCACCTCAGAAACAGCCTGTGGATAACGACAGCTATTTCTGATGTTTATGATTTGTAAAGCAGGCGGGAGTTTTACAAAGCAGTCGTAGATCATGGAAAAAAAAAAAAAAACACCAAATAGCAAGAGAATAAAAATAAGTCAGTGTCAAATAAGCTGACTTCCTAAATTCTGAAATTTTCAAGCCTTTTTCTTTTTTTACACCCATCAGTTGTTGTATTCTTACTGACTTCGAGGGAAGTTCTGCTTGAGTAAGGGCTGAGTGGGGAGTTCTGAAACCAGAGGGAATTACTGCAAGAATTACAGCTGTGGAATCACTCTGACATTTGCAGGTTGTATTAACACGATGGTGGTACTGTGATACATTAGCAGATGTGATACTGATGCACAGTGCTCCGAAAGGATAGGGCATCCTCTCAGATGCACCAAGAGAACAGAGAATTGGAGATAATCAAATTCCATGGAGGAAGTCACCATTTTCCTCCAAATCTATCCACTTAATAATTAATGCCCTTCACACCTAGGATTTTGTGAAGATAGTTTGCACATATTTAATGCGTCGATGTAAAGGTGTACCTTTCCATTTTCTCCCTCTGAAATAAAAATGCTGTATTTGTTTTCTTTTAGTTTCATTCCCTACTTGTACGGACTCATATAACACCATCCTTTAAAAGTAACCAGAATTAAACACTCCACTTTTTACACATCTGTCCTGGAAGGAAGCAGAAAAAGGACAGAGAGCATGAAAAGAAAAAAAAAAAACAACAAAAACAATGACAGATGTTAGTTAGGTTGCTTAACACTGTGCCAGAAGGCACTCAGATGCCGTGAAGCTGAGCTCAGTCTGAAACCTTCACTACTAAATCATGCATCTGAGATGGACCTTCTGAATTACGAGCTTTTATTAAAAATCACGAGATTGTAAAAAATAATTGTTTGGTTGGTGAGTTTTGTTTGTCTTCATGTTATGGTCTTTTGGGATTGCATTCTTTACTATTGAAATGATGCAAGATCAGGTGTTTTTTTTCCCCCCAGACCTGGAAAGGGAGATACACGTGAATGGGTGTTCTGACCTCGTGAGGACTGGGGGACACAGATAGCTGTCCCTGTATAGTGCTGTGGTTGGGCCTAGTTATTGAAGAAATTACAGTGCTGATGGGAGAAGGGGTGCTGGCCAGGGAATCCCTAAATCACATGAAACTGAGCTGCAGTGGTTGTTGTGTTGAGATGTATTACTAAAGGTTAGGGGGCAAGCAATCATTGGTCCTGAGGAAAGGATCTGAGGAGCTTTCATGCAAAGATTTTAGGCCATTGAGGCTCTGTGGTGGGACTGCAAAGAGAAGCATCCCTTGTCAAATTAATCCAGGCACAGGAACGTACCCACAGATAAGACTGCTGTGGCTGAGGGCTCAGCCTCCAGCTTTTACCAGGTCTTATTCTGTGCGCTTTTTGCATCCATCTCCCTTCCTGTAAAAAGAAAGGGAAAGCTATAGGTTACTCACTTACACATACATCTAATATGAGAAAATGGTTCATCTGATTAGGAATAAAAGGATATGACACACAGACAGCCATTTCTATCCAGGCACAACAGATTAGGCATATAATCCCTGGGTTGTGAAAAACTACTTTCAATTACTTGAGCAGAACTGGGGTTCAGCATCTTTGAGGAGTGGGCTGGAGTTATTGATGAAATAATGCTGGAGTTTTCATTGTTTTCTAATGCAAAACTGTGTTATAATGATACTTGAAAGGAATGTGAACATTACTTTGATAGCTAATGCAGAAAGCAGATACAACAATTTTTTTGGTGGGATAATTTTTTTTTTTTTTTCATACAGAAGTGATTTCATGATGTGTGAAGTCTGACAAGTAAATCTTCTTAATGATTCTCACCACAATGAACACAGAAAATAGCTCTTTTTTCATACAATACAATACATATTAGATAACAGCTAGTAACTGATAATATGAAAGAGATCAATTCTGCAAGCTGCAGAGCACCTGCAGTTCTCATTGACTTTGATAAGAGCTGGAAGCCTCAGCCTTTCAGAGGATGTTTCCAGTACCCTGCAGGATTGAGTTTACCAAGATATTTTTTTTAAAACTGTAATTTAGTTATTGTTATGTTAACGTCTCAATCTTTTGATTCAAATTAGCTGGAGAAGGGGGAAAAGTATCATGAGTGAAGATTACTCTGTCAGTGATTAAAATACTTTTATGGCATCACTGTGAGTACTGTACAATAAAGAATATGTTGCATCAATAGGTTAAAGCAGTACATCAGATACACGTGATGCTGTGGTAGGATTCTCAGATTTAACATCTGGGATCTTCATTAAAAACATTACAGAACAAGAAAATTCAGGGCATTGAAGCCACAGAGTTGTTACTTCTAGCAGCATGTGACATTTTTGCTGATGAACTGTGAACTGGAAATATTTATAATCTCAAATATAAATGGTTCTAGAAGTATTGACATACAGTATGTAAAAGAAAAAAAAAAAAGCTTGAACTTCAGATCCATTATAATTTTATAACCTGAATATTTAAGGTAGAGAGAAGAAGAAAAGGATAAAATTTAGAAGATAAGACATATGGCTGTGCACACGGACAGATATATGCCTTGAAGAACAGCTGTTTATATTACTAGCAGTGCATCTAATCTGTACAGGAGGACTGCATAGGAAAGAAAAGAAAAATTTGTGTCCAAAATTAAGAGATAGTGATGAGCACCTTCCACTCCTGTTGCATCCTGTGGCCTCTCTGGGGCACATATTTGGGGCTGTCCTATCTCAATGACCTGTGGGATGCAATGAAAATGTGCTCAGCAGCTTTGTTGGAAACTTTCTGTAATTTCATGCTGGAATAAAATTATTCTTACTACCCAAACATGTCAATAGAGTTTGAAGTTACTCTGCTGCTACCTTTTGCAAGCTGTTAAAATGTGTGTTAACTAAGGAGAAAAAGATGGGCTGTTTGTAGGGGTGGGCTCGGCTGCTGCATTCCTTTTGGATGGTCATGGAACATTGGTGTGGTAGAAGAATAATGCAACCCATCTCAGTTCCCGTGCCTACCAGGAGCTAGAGAAGGAAAGAAGAAGGTGTCAGAAGATGCACTCATAGTGTGTTTGGAGGTTGTGGGTTCAGCATGGGAGAGTAAACCTGCACTCCATCATAGTTTACTGTCCCCATTCTGTGGAGCTGCTTTCTGCCAGTTTGACTGCAGCCCTGGTGTCTTAAATTAAACTCAGGTGAATTCTTCTGGAACTAAAAGGAGAGAAGTGCTTGTAAAGAATACTCTTCTGCTTGACAAGGTGAGAACGCTGTCCTACACTGTGGCTGCCAGCCTTTGCAGCGCTGTGCCACATCATCAGTCCCTTTGATGGTTCAGGGAGAGGCAAGCAGCTCCTCTTCTGAGACACAGAGGAGAAGAGCAGGCTGCAGCTTGTGGGAAAACTGACAAAACTGAATGTCCTTCACGTGCAGCTGGGGTCAGACGACTGTGCACCATGACCCAAGGAAATCATCCAACCACTGCCAGGTACCCTCCTTCCTCTGCTTTGCTCTGGGTGCAGAAGGGATGTGCGGGGAGATTTCAGGGCTTTAGAAACCTGCCCGCAGCTGTTTTGGAAAGGAAATCAGATGAACATGCTTCTGTGTCCATTTCTTGAAGTGTACTCAGCTGAGGGGTAAAATATTGACTTACACATGGGAGAGGAGTCTTTGCTTAATGTACCTTTAGGGGATTTTCATTATTAGCCTGTGACCGTTTGACTTTTGCTCTTGTTTAATCTGTGATAGAATAATATTAGAGGTTAAAAAATATAAATGTTGTTTGAATAAGATTTAAATCCATCTGACTTCCACTTCCACAGGATTTTGAGTTCCTTATAACTAGTATAGATGCAGCTTTAATATATTAATTTAAAAAACAAAACTTCTATCCCTGTATTCTTTTCCTCACTAGAAAATGCTTCGTAGTCTGGAGACAGAGATAATATTTTAAAGCATTAGGAAGTGACTGATGCTGTATGCTCATCTGCTCCCTGCCACTCTGTATTCCTCTATGTCCTTACTTTTCATCACAGGAATCTTGGGACTTTCTATTGCAGCAGAATAAGATGAATTCAATTAATTGCTTGCTCACTTTTTCCTTCCACCTACCTGCTGTTACATTCATGTTTTAGCATGGTTTCCTTTCAACCCATTTTTTTCTTTTTTTGTCACATAGACTTCAGTAAGAGGGGCTGGAGGGCTACTGCAATTTCTTCCAAGCAGCAGACGACCTTCCAGGAGAGCAGATACAGCAGTGATCAGAGCTCTTAGTTGCCTTCTGCAATGCCCTTATTTCTTCCCTTGTATCAAAATAGCACTTAAAATGGCTTTTTTTCCTCTCTCTTTTTTTTTTTTTTGCTATGCATGCCTGCCTGCCTAAGACAATATTTCTACTTCCTTGTGATGACAGAGCTACTGCAGTATGAGGAGACTCTGTAAGTATGTGCAAACATGCACTCCTCTCTCTTCATCCTGTGCGGTAAGATACGGAAGAAGATAGTGACTTACTCCACAATTCTCTTCAAATAACTTTCTGCCAAACATTTGGTTTCCAAATGGAAAAAACCTTAAGATTTCAAACTTCCCTTCATATTCTGACTTCTTAATTCTTCTATGTGCTCTATCAACCCTCTGTTTTTGTCTTGGCTCCTACTTGCTGACGCAGCACCCATTTTCTTGTCTAATTTATAAACTGTTCAGCTGTGCCTTTATTCACTGTTTTCTTTTAATTACATATTCTTGTTAACCTCTTTATCCTTTCAAAGTTCCAGATTGTGATTGACGTGTGGCATTAATTAAGGCATATAATTTATGACATTGGATCTTGAAATTAATAAGTGACCATACAATTACATGTTTTGCCTAATTGTCCTTCAGTAATATAAAGATTGACACTTACTGCAGCATTCAAAGTTAAAAGCTCTCAAACAGATAATACAGCTGAATGTAATCACCAGTGAATCTAAACTAAACAGATTCCTTGTAAGGGGCAGGCTGTTGGCAAAGTACTCCTATTTTGGCCTTGTTTTATTAAATCTATGAAGCTGTATGCACAGATCACTCTCAGAATTCTTTTCAAATTCTAGTTTTTCCAAGACTTTTAATTGCAAATAGCTTAGTGCTCTGTCATTTTCACTGCTATTTCTCTTTCAGATTTCTACTCCCACCTGGAAAAGTGCCGGCATTTCAAAAAGCAGCATTTATTCTTCCTGATCCAAACCACACCACTGCAATATTCTCTACATCACTGTAAAATCTGGCAACTTGATATATTACAGGTATCCCAAATTTCTCCTTGTTACTAGTATTGATTTTGTCTCATAGCTGTTGAAGAACATGAGAAGTATCATTTGGGTATCATCTGTTAACACTGTTAGCAGATTTGGGATTCTGAAACTATTTCAAACAGTGTCCTTAATTTTAACTGTGAAATTCCTCTTGAGTTCAAAACTATCTTAATCTACTCCCCTGACTTTGATAATTCCCTTTATGTGATTTTGTCAAGGGAAAATATAAACATCATTTATATGGTGAGACAGGTTATTGTATTTGAAATTTCTGTAGCTTTGTTTAAAGGAAATACCTATTTTTATGTTTATTCAAATAAATTCAGTGGAGAACTGCAGAAAGTATTCCAAGTTTAGAGTTTTAAAAGTTAATTTGAAAGATAACGTTAAGAGAATACAGATATGTTGTCTACTTCAGTCAGAATTATCCTTTCATTTATTTATATTTGAATAATTAATATCATTATTGTTTATAGTGTATAATATTAACAGAATTTTGATTTGCTGTAAATACCAGGAGAAAAGTAGCAAGAAGGACAAAAAAAGTGATTTCTCATAGTATTTTAGTT